ATATATATATATATATATATATATATATATATATATATATATATATATATATATATATATATATATATATATATATATATATATATATATATATATATACGGTTCCTGTGAGAATGCACCTTGTGGAGAGAAATGAGAATGAAATCTAGCCATTGGATCTGATGCATCGTGCGGCTCAGATTGCATCATGCGCTCAGATTTTGAGATAGTGCATTCTCAAAGGATTATGATGCATTTCGACGTGATGCATTTTCGAACCATTTTGTTGCACTTAATTTTGATGCAATCCTGACCCTTAGATCGCACAATCTAAAGCACCAGATTCATTCTCATTTCTCTCCTAAGATCGCATTCTCACTAGAACCAAAATCTATATATATATATATATATATATATATATATATATATATATATATATATATATATATATATAAACACACATATATTACTCCGTACGTATCTCGTGAAACATTTTGAGTACTTAACAATTAATACTTGTTGACATTGTTGTGGCATTTATTTTCAATCTTTTTGTTTTCAATTTTTATTATTGTCCTAAAATTAGGAAAAAAAAAGGACAATCCGAATCTGTTCCGTTTTGTCCCGGTTCCAAAAATTATAGGACAAAGTGAGATAGGCTTGTGGTTCGAACCGTTCCGAACCGTTTGAATATAACGGGACAGGACGCGGGATTGTAAGAAACCCGAACCGTCTCCACCCATGCCCACCCCTATATTAAAATATCAAGCCTAAACTCGTTATTTTGTGGACATAATTTTGTGAGCGGGCCATAATCGGATCTAATACGGGAGTATCTAATCTAATTTACATAGGTTTCTTAAAATAAGGACCATATATACACTATGGGACAAGATTCCTTCCTTGAGCCGAGCTGCAGGTAGCAGAGGTGGAGTGGAGCCGGCGAAAAGTGTATTCTCTACTCCATACGTAATTCATTTTTTTTGTTCTGTACTCGGTACATACGGAGTAATTTTAATTACCCCTACTTTATTTTATTAAAACAATTATTCAAAATAGAAGCAAATCTTGGTTTTTATCTTCAAAATAAAAGTGATATAGTTTTATTTCTAAAATAAAATTATCGTGTTGTGACAATATATAACACGTACGTTGGATGTTTCTATTTATTATTTGATAAATAAAATATTCTGGTCACATTAGGTTTTGTGGAAACTTTGACGTAACTTTTTTATTATGTAATTTTTATTTTTTATGAATGTATCAATTTGTAAATAAAATATTTTCAAATATTGTGAGGTTTTTTATCTCGTAATTTCCAAATATCACTGGATGTACTTATTTTCATGTACATTCAAATGAGCATCGTGTAACGCATAATGTGCATACATTAATTTTATAATATATACGCTCTAAATTTGCGATTTTATTTTCAAAATTTCGATCACTTTTATTTTTATATAGATTAAACGTGGTATTGGCAACAAAAAAAACAATGAAATGGGCACAACTATGATTCCTAAAAAAACCGATGAAATGGGCATTGTGCAATTTTAAAATGAATGCGCTCTGTGTATATGAAGAAATAAATGTGTGAAACGATATTGTATAACTTATAAATATGAATATATCAGATTTATTCTAAAAATTGTAAATTCGGATGTATAGTATGAAAAAAATAAAAGTAAAATTTATTTACTCCGTATTTTATTAGGAAAATGAAAAAGTTCAAAAATTATTATTCCTTATATTGAAAAAGTGTGAACAGCTCAAGGAACCGGAAAGTTTTAAAGGACCATGCTAGGGTGCCACCACATGGGTGCTACTATGGGTGCACCCATGCTTCACACAGACGATAATTGTCTGTGTTGCAGAGACAATTATCGTCTGTGTTATCTGTGCGAAGCATGGGTGCACCCATGGTAGCACCCATGTGGTGGCAGTCTAACATTTTCCAGTTTTAAATAAGTGGATATAAATTTTACTCCCTATATATTTTCTTTGCTGCTAGCTAGCAACTCTCTCTTTCCTCTCTCTCTCGGATCTCTCTCGATCTCTCTCTGGTACGATGATGAATATGGGAAGAAGTAAAAGAACCATTTCTTCTTTTTCTTCTTCTTCTTCTTCTTGGGCGTGTATAGCATTGTTTCTTCAACATTTGTGTGTGCTTGCCCTTTTGGTCATTTTGTCATCAGGTTGTGGTAAGTTGTTACTGCATTTATATATGCTTCCCCCATCATTTTCTCAATCCAAAATCATTATATTTGAGATTAATTTGGTGTAAGATTGTGACACCAACTCAATTGTTCTTGTTCTTGGTCCTAAGATCAACATACGAAAAGTGAATCTTCTCACATTTTTTAGAGACTGACAGGTAGATCTTTTTCTTTTTGTAAAATGTCGAACTTTTTAATGATATCAATGCATAAAATGAACATTAAACTTAAGACCCGCGTAAGAATTTGCCACTCAATTGGCGCTCCTATTGAACTCATATCCCAAAATTGACAGTTCTACATCTTAAACCCCTGGTTATTCTTCCAGCTCGGACCGTCTCTACATCCAAAATTTGGTACTCAATTCGACCCAAAATTTGGTCGAAAATTTAAGGGATTTAACTTTCTAAAATTTGGAGTGTAAAAATAGTTTAAGTTATCGGAAGATATTCTTGAAATTGTCATCATGGTACGAGTCATAATTGTGGGATTTGTGGGCATCTCACGGATCGGAAACATTGCATAATACTCCCTCCATGGAGTTCGTCCAGTTTCGCTTTTCACTTATTTTCTTTATTTTCACTCTTCCTTCCAAAATACTCCCTCCGTCCCAAAAAGATTTACACGTTTCAAAAAAATTGCGTCCCACAATCTCCTACCCATTTATATTAAAAAACCACTTTTACCCCTTACTTTTTCAAATCCTACCTATCACATCATACCTTTTTCCTAATAATCTACACATCACATCCTACTTTTACCCATCACATCAAGGGTATTTTTGAAAAGTCAACACAAAATTATCCATCCCTTAATTTCAACTTTAGTCAAAATGGGTAACACTTTATGGGACGGAGGGAGTATTATATAGTCATTCCACTTCTTATTTTATAAAATTTTTTTAGGAAAAATTATCTCAAATAATCTTATATTTTCGTGATCTAGCTTTCAAAAATAATATCATTTTTCACTGTCACTAGAAATAATCTCACTTTTTCACATGTGTGCGAGTTTTGGGTCGTCGTTAAAAATTTAACGGTCACACTTAACGGAATTTTTGAAAAATACATGTGTTTTGCAAACAAATGAAAGGTGGAATTATTTTAGTTAAATTCTCCTTTTATAGTTTTTATAATTTCTAACTTTAAATTTCAATGTATTTTTTAAATTTTTTTTGGGAAAAATAATACAAAATTTAAGTGTTTTTAGAGTGAAACGAGTTGTTTTTCAATAATCGATAATCTAGTAATAATTAAAAAAAATTACTCTACTCAATAGAGCTAATTTATTTACTTCATAACTCACTACTCTTTTTGTAAGTTGCATTTATTTTTCTTGAGCGGCACTTCAAAATGTCTTTTGATACAATATTATTATTATTTCTTAAAAATTAACACTACAAAACTTGTGAATATTTTTCGATAATTCTATATAAATACTTTTTGCGAAACAACATTACAATAATTGTGAAAATAACCACACAATTTTTTCTCTGAAATGGAACTTTTATTTTTATAACTCACTACATTTTTTGTTGTATTGCAATTTTTTTCACGAACAACACTCCAAAATATTTATTAATAATTTTCTATTGCCTGTATTATTTTTTTCCTAAAATGCAACTACATAATTTGTGATTTTTTGATAATTCAGTACATATTTTCCCCCAAAATAGTAATTCAAAAGTTGTGAATGGTTAAAATGTTAATGGAAAAGATATGTGAAGTTGTTAATGGTTAAAATGTTCATGAGAAGAAAGATATGTGATGGAAAAGAATGTGTCTTTTTGTATCTTTTAAATAAAATTTAATTTTCAATCGGACCTTGAGTATTTGTTAAGTTTTCTTTTTTTTTTATTTTTTCCAATCAAAATGAAAAAATTTCAATCATACGTTACATTGGATTTATGTTACATATTACAAAGTAATAAATTAAATTAAAGTTTTTTAAACTTCTCTTCAAGATAAATCTAATGAAACTATTTTTATATTTATATACAATACACTTTTGAGTGCTTCTTTGGTGCACCTTAGGTGTATATCATTTTGTGAACCTTCTCACATAAAACTTTTTTTCTTTTTTTTATTAAAAAATAATAAATGCTTATTTAAGTAGTAAAAAAATACTTATTTTGCTCATATGTATGTCCACGGTGGACCTTAGGTCCACCATGAGAATTTGCCTACACTTTGTTAATGGGTAGTGATAGCCACAAGCGTTAAAATACTAAATACACCGGTCAACTAAATACACATTGGATATATTATTGTTCAAAAAAGTTATATAACTTTATTTTGTAAAAAAACATTATGAAACAATTTTTGAAACTATTGCTCATTTATTTCATTTTATTACTTTTCAAATAAAATAATATATATTTTAGTTTTAATTTTAATTATAAAACATTGGCACCTCTTATTTTAATTTTTCAATAATTAAAATAACTTTCATTGTTAATACGATCATTGATTTTGTATAAAATCTCTATTTTCTAAGTATTACTCCATATATCTATATCTATTTCTCCATTTTTTTAATATACATACTTATTTTATCATTTTAAAAAAATATTTATATAAATTTTACTAAAAAATTTTATACAGAGTATAATCTTTAAAATTATTCACCATTATTCTCTTTTATTTATTTTCATGGGCAAAAATCTATATAAATGTTATTAAATATGAATTATTATTAGAAATATAACTTTTATTTTAAAAGATAGCATATTTAATAATTAATATATACTCCATATTTAGTAGAATAAAATTTAATTATCATTAAACTATTATTATATTATGATTCAAACTAGAACTTTTATCAAAATCTTAAAATTACACAATGTTGTATATGAGCTCATGGATTAAAAATAATTTTTTTGAATAAGTATTAAAAATGATTTTGAAACTAATGGAGTGAATTTATGCTCTCTTCTTTTGGGTTAGAATTTTAGAGTTGGATGTTGGAAGAAACTGGAATGAGTTGGAAGAAACTAGAATGAGTTGGAAGAAACTGAAAGGAGTTGGAAAAATATTGGAAGAATTTAAGTATTGAAAAAATACTCAATTAAATGATCATCTAAATAAATATTTTAGAAAGTTTTAATTTTGGATAAAAAAGAATTCATCTTTGTCCATGTTTGAGGTGATATGTTACAAATTTAGATTTGTAATATCATTTTATATTAATCTTATATAAATACTTTTTTTCCAACTCAAAAGAATATTACCTTAGTGTTGGAGTGAAGTTGGTGTTTGGGTGGGGTGTGACAATCACCACACTTTTTTCATTAATGATTAATGTTTCTTTCTTTTGACTTAGAAAAATAAATTGCACGAATACCCTGCTACAAAGATAATAACATATTTTTGTACAACGTACGAAGTAATTTTTATCTACGTGACCATGAAAATATATTGAAAACAAAAACGATGTGAAAAAAGTAGATCCATCTTTTACTTATGACAACCCTCATAAGAGGCAAATGTAAAATTTTCTACCAACAACATTTTGCTAATTAATGACACCAAATACTTTCTCCTTACAAAATTATTTCATTTTTTTAACAAAGTTTAAACAAAATAAACTTATTTTGATTTGATATATGTAGAAGAGACGAAAATAATGTCAATACTTTAATACTTTTCTTTAAAATGAAGAGAGTACACCAAATTGGTGTACACTAAGATCATCTTTTTTGTATTGGAATTTTGGAGTTGGATGTTGAAAAAAATTAAAAATAATTGGAAAAATTGGAAATTTGGAAGGAGTTCGAGAAATCTAGAAGGTGTTGGAAAATATTAAAAAAATTAAAGTGTTAAAACATTACTCAATTAAACGATCACGAAGATAAATATGTAAAATAATTCTAATTTTGAATAAAAGGAATTCATAGTTATCCATGTTGGAAGCAATATGTTATAAATTTGGATATATAATGTTATTATATTCATCATATACATAAATTAAATACTTCGTACCTTTTTTAAGTTATTGTTGGAAGAAACTAAAAAAAATAAGGAGTGGAAGGAGTTGGAAGAAATTAGAAGAAGTTAGAAAAAGTTGAAATTAATTTTTCCAACCTATTGATGGAGTCTTAAATACACAATAATTCAACTAGTTGTATCTAATTGTGTATATGCCAAATTATTAGTGTACATAATATATATAAGGGTATGCTTGGTATAAACTACATTGGTGAACACCACTTGTACACCATTGTGTAACAAATACACAAAGATAACATTTGTTTGTGTACATACTATGGTGTACAAGTTGTGTACACTAATAGTGTACAACTAACATTTTCGAATGTGTATACGCAAAACATTGAAATTTATAAAAGAACATATAGGTATCACATTTTAAGATAATAACCAAAGTTTGCATTATCTCATATTAAGAACAAAAAAATATATAGATGTCACATTTTTTGTAATATCTATCCAAAATAAAATTTTATTTTTCATATTTTGAAACTTTTTATAATTAGCAACCACTGACGGGCTATTTGGGTAATATTGGGAATATACAAAAGTATACCTCATTTTTACAATACTAGTCTTTTTACCATACATTTTTTATCTATTTCTCGTTCTTCTTATTCATCAAGAAATGTGTGGTAAAAAGACTAATGCGTACAAATAGTAAGTTTTGTGTTCATTGTAACCATTGTATATTTTAGAGTATAAAACTATTGCACTAAAAACAATACAAATTTGATTGTGAAAATATTTTGGATTAGACTAGACACTTGTCATATAAACTTTCTAGCTTAACGTCATATCAATTTTTTTATTGGATTCTAATAATGTGAAAATATTTTGAGTTAGACCGCCGACACTTCTCACCTCTTGAAACACCGAATACCGAACGCGGTGAGAAGTGAGGTGGTCTTGTCGGCGCCGAGTGCCGGGTGGCAGTGTGGCACGCCAAGCCCGCCTCACCATTCACCCTTAACAAGAAAAACAGTCACTTTACTTTTTGTTTTGTTTTGTTGTAGATGCAAGAGAACCTTACGGCGCCTCTTTTCATTCACAAGTCGCATCATCAGTGAAGACCTTGAAGCGGTTCGATGTATATCTACCGTTGGATTCTCCCAATCCAAATTCTCAACCTTACGATGTGACTTCCCCTTTGAATTATGAGTCTCTTGCTCCCATTCCATCGCCCGATGACAACAACCCTCCCTATTGCGTCTATCCTCCGCCGTCAGCTACTCTTCCCAGCCCCGGCGGCGGGTATATTCCGTCGCCGTCGTTCCCGACGCCGCGCAGCCCGCCTCTAATCGTCCCGAGCCCACTCGAGCCTGTTCATAGCCCGCCTCAAATCGTCCCAGGCCCAGCCGAACCAGTTCATAGCCCGCCTCCGATTGTCCCTAGCCCAAGCCCGCCTCCAATTGTCCCGAGCCCATCCGAACCAGTCCAAAGCCCGCCCCAAACCGTCCCGAGCCCAACCGTGCCAGTTCAAAGCCCGCCACTAATTGTGCCGAGCCCGGGTGAACCTGCTATAAGTCCGCCTCCGAGATTCCCGAGCCCGAATGAACCAGGTGTAAGCCCACCTCAATTCGTCCCTACTCCAACAAGGCCTTTTGTAAGCCCGCCATACATCAACCCGAGCCCAAGTGAGCCTGTTCCAAGCCCACCGCAGGCAGGGGGCCCATTCATGCCACCAGTGGTGTACCCCCCTCCGACGGTGCCGCCGCCTCCGTCAACGACGCCTCCGACGGCGCTGTGGTGCGTGGCTAAGCCGGCGGTTCCGGAACCGATAATACAGGAGGCAATGAACTACGCGTGTGCATCGGGGGCGGATTGCGACCAGATTCAGCCGAACGGGGCGTGCTTCCAGCCGGATACTCTCTTCGCCCACGCCTCGTACGCCTTTAATAGCTATTGGCAGAGAACGAAGCAGGCCGGTGGCACTTGCGAGTTCGGAAGCACCGCCATGCTTGTCACCGTCGATCCGAGTCAGTGCTTCATCTACCTTCATTTCTTTTTTCAAATTATTTTAATTTCAATTGTTCTTACTTTTTCCCCTAACTAAAATTTAGGAAATCTGTTTTCAAAAAAAAAAAAAAGAGGAAATCTACTACATACTTAATTTTTTTCAAAAAAAAAAAAGTACTCCCTTATGTCCTAAAAATCTTTCTATGTTTTGCTTTTTTAGGTAAACAATGATACTTTCTGACTACAAATTAAATATAATCTAAAAAAATAAATGATGTAAAAAGATTGATATATCAAAATTATATCTTAAGATTAACCCATTATATTAAATTTATATTACAATTAAATATAGTTTTCTCACAATTTGTGGTTTGACAAAAATTTTCTCACAATTTTAGGACAAGAGGGACTAGGGAGTGACATTTTTGTGAAAACATAATTGAGTGACACTTTTAAATATTTTAAAAAATTCAATTGCATTATTGAATGAAAGTAAAAGACATTGTCATTTTTTACAAAAACGAATAGTTTAGTGATTTCGCCATGATTTCATCATATGATCAATATGGAGTATGGACTGTCAATCCAAAGCACAAATAAAAGTGTATTTTATTTAATTCATTCTACAAACTCCATAAGGCACTCGTATGGACTATGGAGTATATTTGTGCTGCATATATATTTTGGCAAACGTATCAATATCATCACATAATTAATCTAATTCTACAAAAGCCATATAAGGATTTGATAATTTCACCGTGATAACACTCTACGATTTGGTATTATCACACGGAATACTAATGAATTGGACATTTATTTTGAGCAACGTTTTTTAAATACTCGGGTACGTAAATATGTTATTTTCGAATGAAGTCCATCTCTTAATCTTTTATTGCATCAAATATCTTTAATAACATTGTGGTGCATATATTTGTATCCCTCCACAGGTTATGATGGCTGTCATTTCACATATATGTAACTTACATTACTACTTGGTTTGGTACGTATATATATGTGCATGCTATATAGTAGCTTGCTTGCTTGCTTATATTGGCTGGGAATTAATGGATCGCGATCGAGCATGCATAAATCCCATCTTCAATGTCAGTATTAATGGATACGATCAAGCACGTAACGTAGTTCATGTGAAGATCGATCGCGCGACTACATTTTCTGTAGCAAAATTCTTTAGGTACGTACATACCGAGAACAAACAACACTTCTTTGAATATAATGCTTCCAAGCTGTTGTGGCATATCTTTAGATGATGTTAAAAATAGTACTATTATTATTGGTGTACATTAAGAATTACTCTTTTATGTTACATTTTGTACTTGGTATATATATAACACTTCACTGGTCTTTATTTTTTTTGCTGGAGAGTAATTATTTATTTATTTTTCCTTATAAAATCGAAGATTAGTTTTGTGAATCTTTACATACAAATGCTCGCTCTTTTTGGCCCATCTTTCGGAACCAAATACTTTTTATTATCTCGTAGTCATATATTTCAGCTTTAAAGTAAGTTTCATAATCTCTGAAGATGCCAGGAATTTATGTAAAGAAAATTTGTGAGGATGTTGAAATCATTGTTGTTCTTGACCTTGTTTGTCTAAGAACCTATGCCCCAACACATCAAGTGTGTTAGATTTAATGAGTGTCAGACGCCTAAAGAGTTTGCAACTTGAGAACTATTTATAACTAAGTGGTTTCATCCAATTTAGTGTTCATTAAGCTCTTTCTACCAATACTAAATAATCGGGGTCAAGGCACCCACGATGGATGCATCATCAAACACATGCGGGGTTCCTTTCCCTCGTGACTCTCATATGTCAACTCCACGGCAAGCTGATTTTTCAAGCTTAGGATTGCTGGATCTTGATTTTGATAACAAATCTCTGGTTTATATCACTCCATGTATTTCTCGGTCGCTAGCTAGCGAAGATTGGTTATTGAATACGGGTGCAAGCACGAACGTTGTACCTTATTTTTCAATGCTCTCATCTCCCTCTCCATATCCATATCAAAGTAATAGTAGGTGGTCGTTCTCTCCATATTGGCAACGTAATTAGTATGTTGCTAGCTAGGACAGAGTTGTTTCTTAAGTTCACTCATGAACTTGGCCCAAGCAAGTGCCTACGGTGCATGTGCCCTTCTTAATATCCCCTTGTTTCCTCTTCCATCATTCCACCGTTAGTAACCCTAAGGTAGAGACATGGCATGGCGCAACCTTCAAGTGCGTCTTTTGCAACAATGAGTGATTTGTAATATTGCTCCATACTCCATTTGAAACATCTTGTTCTTTTGCATTTCTTGCCCCTTCAAAAGGCTTGTGTCACGGAACAACTATCTTAGTGGGAATAGTCCTTACCTCGAACAACATCGTTGTCAGTCCATATAACATGACTCACGCCTTGTATGGACTTCATTGTCCAAATGCTTTCTTGCACAAACCGAGCTTCTCCTCGGTGTTCTCAAGCTTACACAAAACCCACCCTCAAGCTTACTCGAGACCCTCTCAAGCTCTTCATTGACCAGAGATGATTTAGTCCTATGAGACTCTTCCATGGCCTTTATGTTGCCATCAGACAATTGATGCAATGGAGACCTTGTTCTTAGTAGTTGGCATGATATTCTAGAACCTCCTTTTCTATGAAGTCTCACACATTTATTGTATATTCTAGACTCGTCAAACTGATGTAAACTTTTTTGAACACTTCAACACATCTCCAAATTGTAAACCTCTACAAATTTCGGGCAATTTAAAGCAAGATATTACAATTAGCGTGGGATACACACTCTCCAATGAGCATAAGGGAGTGATCATGTACTCCCCACACTTTTCTATTCCATTTTGATGAATGAAGGGACTTGTTTTAAATAAAAAAAAATAGAGAAATATGACTCAATATAGTGTATTGACCATGGCGAGAAGATAGCTCACAACATGGTCGGATTGACGAATTCTATTTCTTCTTCCATATAGCCAAGCCCATTAGAAAGTCTAACACTATTTTGGTTCAAGTAATTTGAAAGAGAAAATAAAAATGAAAGAAAATCACTTTCTTTTATTTTCCTTCGAATTCCATGAACCAAAAGGAAATTCAGTTAGATTTTGTTTGGCCATGCTTTTAAACTGAAAACAAAAATAAAACTGCTCCCAACAATCGACCAGCATAACTGAATTGCAGCAAACCCGTAGATAAATTCATGGTACATAATACAGACTAAAACTTGGACATTCACAAACCCATCGAAAAGCACATTTGATCTTGAGTTTTTGACCACCAATTGTCTCGGGTTTCACAGACGATTTGTATGTCTGCTAAGATGTTACACAGTTTGCAGTTATGTTTCTTTACTCACAACATTATATATATATATATGATTCTACAAATCATTCAAATGAGCAAAAAATATATAGAAAGATTGCAATGTCGTTGCCGGGGGCAGTATTCACAACTTCACAAATTTGCATCTCCTATCACACACCGATGGAGTTGAGCTCTCAAATTTTTCGTTCAAAAGATGAATGACATAAATAACAGAGTTTCAATGGTAAAAATAACACAAAATGCCAATGCCCCCCCACCCCCAAACCCAAAACAAAGGACTATTAGCAGCTATTTACTTTCCTGGACCTTGAATCATTTATTCGGAGTCCTTCACAAGTAGCCATTGCTAGGTTTTGAGCACTCAAGCTTTCCATAACCGTTTGGCACTTTACAATGGTGGTGGTACATGAGAAGTGCATAAGGGGTCGAATTGGATCGACCAAAGAATTAGTTTAAGAAACACCAATCCACATTCAAATCGATGTATAATTGGGGAAAATGAGCATCAAGTTATCAAGAGCTTCTGGTAGGAATTTCCTCCCAAAGAGGTAACACGGTCGTTGATTTCCATTCCAAAAACAGGGCATAGTTTGAACTTCCCTCTGCAACCCAAAGCAAGAGGGGGGAGAATAAGTTGCACTCGAATATTACGGAGTACATTACAACCATAACAATCTAACAAATTAATCATTAACTCCATACCATAAAGAGAATCACGTTTTTCTCAACGTCCAATTTTCAGAATTTAGTAATTAATACATATTCATCAAATTTAGCTATTTTCAAAACTTATACTCCCTCCGTCCGGGAAAAAACTTCCCATTTGGACTTTTCTTCATTTTTTTGAAGGGTTGACTATGGGTGTAATTTCCCTAAAATGCCCTCCCTCTCCTTCCTGACCTGCCCGACAATCACCCAGTCCCAACCATCGCCGCTAGTCCCTCCTTTTCCGCCCGTCACACCACCTCTCATTTCTCCTCACCATCGCCGCCACTCCACTACTGCTGGCAGCCTCACCATCGGCGCCAGCCCCACCTTCACCTCCAGCCCCACCTCCACCTCCACCGTGGTGCAGATCTAAAAGAAGATGAAGAAGAAAAAGGCGGAGAAATGCAAATCTAGACTCACTGTCACTGTCGCCGTCGCCGTCACTGCCACAATCGCCGCCGCCATGCTCAGATCTAGAAGATATGGAAGAGATATAAGAAGGGAGAGAAAAAGAAGGGAAAAAAAGAAGGGGAGAAAAAGAAGGAAAAAAAAGAGGGGGAGAAAGAAGAGAAGAAGAGATGAGATGTACGGGGAAGAGGAAGAGACAAAGAGAAAGAAGAAGAAGAAGAAGAAGAAGAAAGAAAGAAAAAAGATTAAGAGAGAAAAGGGTGGGGGGGGACGGGACGGGTAGATCTAGGAAGTTTGAGAGAGTAAATGGAATTGAATGATAAGGGTATTTTTGGAAGAATTGTGGTTAAAATTAGAAATGGAAAGATTATTTTCGGACGGAGGAAAAGGAGAAATGGGAAGATTATTTCCGGATGGAGGGAGTATGTTGTTTTAGCTAAATTCAACACTCAACTTGATGGAGCTACATTTTTGAAAAATAACATTACAAATAATGAAAATTAGCTTCTTTTATATAATTTAGATTCTTTTTTTTGCGACAAAAAATAAGTTTTAAGTCATGACTCTCTTCATGGGACGGAGTTTCGTATACAAAAAAGAAAAAAAACAATACCCTTGAATCACTTGTAACATGCACACTCTCAGTAATAGACTGCAAAACAGAGGAAAAACTATTAAGAGCATGTCATGCCTAGTCACGATAGAAAGCCGGAAATGTCATATCAAATTAGGAAAGGGAACTAATATGTGGCATTAAAATAGAATAAGGATTAAAAATCATAAACTCAATCGTTGTGTCAGTAAAATGATGGATCCTGGTAGAGATATCAAAACACAAGATTATCAATTAGACATTTGAACAAAGAATTTACCCATAAAAAAATCAATATTTCAATAAATGTGTGCAATGCATGAAGGAAAAGTTAAAAATTAAATGAGCATGACTACATAGTACGAAAAGGTAGAGGTAAGTTGGCCATACTGTAATGTTTTTCATGAGCTCGTAGGTGATATCACGGGCAGTGTAAGATTTGGGGTGCCACTTTCTCTCGGACCAATCAACATGTGTAACTGACCAATTTGCAATTCCAGAGGGATCAAGCATCTGAACTTGAAACAGAAATAATTCACATCATCTATAACTTGTTGAATACAGAAAACCCTAGAATAGTCATAAAAATGTATTTCCATATTGTCATGCAAATATAACACACGATGACACGATTTCTTGTCAATAAAACCATTGAATTTTTAAAGGAGTAAAAGACAGAAGTCACATACATAGAAAAAGGTTGGTAAATAGTGTTCATCAGAATAGCAGTTACGTCCTCCTTCCATGTTTGGCTGTTATGCAAGACATGAAAATGTATCAGTGAGTAAACACATGAATCACAATTTACAAATGTCATTTAAACAACACATGACCACCTCATTTATGCATTGAGCTCATGGAAAACACATCTAGAAAGAATACTAAATACAATTAAAATTGCTAATTTTTGAAATGCCTACAAAAGGTTGTACCTTACTTCACATTAACATATGTGGCTTGGAAAAAGATTTACAGTATCAAAAGATACTCAAATCCAAATTACACATCGACTCTTGCCAGAATAACTAACAGATACAAGTGATAAGAAAAAAAACATGAATATTTGCATGGGTCAATTTACCCATTACAGTTCCATTCATTGAATTCAAGGGCTGACATCAACACTTTCAACTTAACTTTGTGGCTTCATATATTTGAGGTTGGAATGCATACACACGAGAGTGCAAGAAAAATGGGTTGAAGTTGGAAATTTTGTTGCCCAATACATTTGAAAAGTAAAAATGTTTAAAAGTTATAAATTATAATAATACTCTGTTAGAATTTTAAAAAAATAAGCAACTCGTGAATGATGGGAGGCTGGTTCTGATAGACCCACAGCAAAATTATCAAATAATTTGAGACAAGTTGCATACCGAGAAACACAACAAGTGGGGACCACACCCAAGTTGACATAAGGAAAAACATCTACGCCTACCCTAAAAAATACTAAATGTGCGAGGTAGAGAATATCATAAACCCCCGAGAAAGGTACAGTAACAAAAACTTAAAAGTCATTAGAGATAAAAGCATGTTTGACACCATCTCTATCCCAAAAAAAGCTTGTTTTGAATACATTTTGCATTGGGGATGCCTTCAAAATTTCTGCATCTTCCATCTTTCTTTGTTCTTCTTTGGTTCTCCCCATTCTATTTCTTCATCTTCCATCCTTCTTCGTTCTCCCCTTCAACGCTTCTTCTTTCAATCACCACCGACCACCCGCCATCTTCTTCCTTTTGCCGTTGCCGGCACCAGCTTTCTGTCTTCTCCTGCAGCCACCTTCTTCCTTCCGCCGCCGCCATGCGGTTTCAACTCCAGATCTTGGCCTAATCTACTGGAAACGGTCATGATGTAGCACATCAGTGATGAAGGCAAGATCTACTAGAGGCAATGCAGGCAGCTGCCAGCGTTGGAGATGAAGGCAACAGTGTGAAGCGACATTCAGTGTCGGTGATGAAGGTAGTGGTGTGAAGCCGCCGTCTTGGTGATAAAGGCAGCGTTGGTGACCTAACATGCGACCATGCAAGGGTGGGGAACGAGAATAGTGTAGGCGTATTTAAAAAGAGTCAACACCATTTTCAACTCTCCCTAATAGGCGTGCCGAGTCACCTTGGGAAGAACATTCCCGGACACAGGGAGTGCTTTTTATTAATTCAGATCATTCAGCGTCAATGTTGGTCTTCACTTTGCAGCGCGCCTTCAACATCTCCTTTTTCAGAGGTTCCACACATTTTCTTCTTCATGACTAAGGTCTTCTTCCCCACTCCCCCGTCTCTCCAGTGTTTACTAACATGGTAACACCTCGGCTCTTCAGCCTTCACCATGGAAGGCACGGAGATCGCAAGGTCAGCCCACAGCCACAACTTGCAAGTCACAAAGACTACTCCAGTAGCCAAAGCACCACACGACAGCTAAGTTTCATTTTTGAAATCTATAATTTCTAGTTTCTACACAGCAGAACTACAAATATATCACTGAATAGTTTTATTATGTAGCTTCGCGGTTGTTTCAGACTTTAGAGTTGATTTTGATTAGTATTGACTGTTGACAATTACAAATCTCAAATTTTATTTGTTTCACACTTGTTTGATTTTTTTAGGTTGTTTCAGTGACATTTGAAGAACTGAAATTCTAGCATTTCTACAATAATACAATAGGAAATATATAACGTATATAGCAAAATCATATATAGATGTAAATATAACGTAAAAGAAAAACCTTGCAGTAATCGTGGAACTTTGTATAATAAAGACTATCAGCCACAACTATAACAGCATGCTGTCGCTTCATTGTAAACCACTGCAAAATTCAATTGAAAATATAAGAGAAGATCACACATATTAAAAATCTGGATAATAAGTTGGTGATTCAAATTGAACAGATGGGATTGGTAAGAAAATCTGCTCATGTTAACAATTTGAAGAAGCTGCATGGAGCCTAGTACGCAAACTTCCATGAGCTCTCCTTGTTACAAAACCAATAGGAATTAAAGTAGTATGAGTACCTGTGCACCCTTTCGAAAGTCTTTCTTTTCAACTTCAGGTAGCATATGCTCTGAATACCGACCAGTTCCATGTGGGCCAGGATCCTCAAAGCTGAACAAAGAAGAGGCGCAACGCAAAGAAAAGAAATTAAAAGTGCCTATACTTCTATGGAAAACAATATACTCAATACCATATAAACGGTGCTACATCTAGAGACTACTGTTTAATTGAACATAAGAGTATACGATAAAACTGCCACATCTAATCTGATCACAAAAACACAATTCCAGCTTACCAGTCTATGAAACTGACATTTGTGTACATCAAATAGTTGTACACATAGTCAAAATTTCGCAAGGGTATACAACTGCAATTCAAGAAAACTTCTGTTAAAAATGCAAAAATAAAGGATTCTTAAATTGAGGCAACAAGGTAATGTAGACTATCACAACCCACCTATCAGAGAGAAGTACAAATTGCTGATTGTCCGGATCTTTTAGAGCATTAGCCAAAAGTCGTCTCTCTGCATCAACCATTGAAATTTTCCCCCAAACTACCTGTAGTATATGATCCAACAAACTTTATGTGACATAAAGCCATCGCTAAAGAATATACTCCATCCATCCCAAAATAAAGTTTACAGTATAACTTCATAGAGTTAAAAAAGTGTTGAAAAATAAAAAGTAAAGGGTTGAAATTTATTTAGAAGAAAGAAATGATGATAGCCTAATAATCTAATATTGCTTTACTTAATTGCAAAATGGGAAAGTGTAAACTTTATTTTGGGACGGATGGAGTACTAACCAAGAAAAGTATAATAAAACTACACTTTGGTTCCCTTGACATTGGTTATCAATGTCATGGGATGAAAATGAGCACGTCCTGTACCCGGTTCGTAAAATAGATGGTTCCTACCCCCTTAACCCCTTCTGCCCCCTCCCCCTTCCATCGCCAATTGTAGCCAATCAGTGATGGAAGGCGGGGGTAGGGATAAGAACCATCAATTTTACGAACCGCGCAACGTACGAGCCCGATGTCATCCTATGACATGATAACCAATGTCAAGGGAACCATGCCCATAAAACTATAGGCTAGCAGCCAAGAATGTACCATTTGAATAGCTAATTGATCTGTTCTTTATTACCCTTCAATTAAAGTGGAATCCTAAAACTAATTCTAATATATACTCAGTTACTCACTCTGTCTCAATAACCTTCCCACGTGCATTCTTCATTCATTTTTCACTTATCACCCATTTCCTTTTAACAAAAGCAATATGTGGTTCTCTTTCTTTTAAATTTCCATCATCTCTGATGAAGCCAAAAATTCACTTTTTTTGGCTTTGGGGTGTAATGGAATAAAGCAAAACGCATCTTTAAACTGTATGCGCTTCTTTAATTAATGAAGTAGGAGCTAGTCAATCAATGCAACTTTTGACGCTGAGCCAGAGGTCTCTTTGGAAACAACCTCTCTACTTTTGAGTAGGTGTAAGGTCTCCATACACACACCCTCCCCAGACCCTACTCTTATGGGATTCAACTGGGTTGTTGTTTTTTCTTTTAAATAGATCTCAACCACAATTATATAGACATGCATATATAAATGCACATGCACACAAACATATATTTAAAAATAAGTGTATGCATATATGCATGTACATGTGTATGCATATTAATAGTTATTTTGGGATATACAATTTAAGTGCTAGAACACACTTCAAAAACAATGTTTTTATTTGAACGACACTTACCTTTTCACTACGGATCTCCCGATTATAAAAATAACGGCTAAAATGCACGGGCCTATCCTTGGAAGCATGAACATAAATAGAGAATTTTCCTTCATGACCCTAAATATAAATTGAAAAAGATTGACACATTAATACAACAGAGTGCACTCAATTGGTCAAGCAGCTAATGCAAAGAGAACAGCTCATGCCACAAAATTCTCCACATGAAGCCTAAAAGAACTTAGTTAGGTAATGTTTGGGACCTAGCATTTGATTTCAGTTCTTGCATTTCGATTGCAAAATTTGAATTCTTGAATTTCAAATGACAAGAGGAGGCATACATATTTGTAATTGAGAGTCGTAATGAATTAGAAGAATTTCTCTCAAATCCATATCCAAATTTTAAGATTCTCAAACATGAAATTTGAGCCAAATCCAAACTGGGAAATCTAAATTCAAGTTCCCAAACATGCAAATAGTCTATTTAAGATTATATTTAACTTCAAACTTAAAAAAATACTGTGCAAGTGCGCTTCTCAATTCCTGGCATTATAGAATCAAAGCAGAATATAGATGAAAGTATAAATGCAGAATCTTATGTTAACTGACATCTCTTTAAACAAAACCTTTAAATGATCAAATAGTCATAAATTTGAATTTCAAAAGGATCCAAAATAATAACCTTAGAATGTAATACGATTAACATTTAGGGCAAAGCTTTCTTTAGAAACTACACCAACTAGTAGGTTAAATTGTCATACGAAATCTGGTTTACTTTCAAGCCCAAAATCAAAACTCAAAAACATTATATAGTAAAAGAAATGCCAAATTTTGGACTCAACTATTCTATTCAAATCATAATACACAAGAAACATGATAAAAGAGGACTAAAAGACAAACCTGAAAGAATTTATCCCAGAGCTTCTCAAATGGTAACGCACCTGGGGTTAAAAATAGGAATGCAATCTTTGGGTTATTTGATATAACCAAAGGTGTATTCAGAATATCACTAATGACAACACGAGATGATATCTCTTTATCTGTTAATTCTCTGGCAGGAGTAGGAGGAATCCAATCGGAATTGCAACCATGAGTTGAGAATACATAACAAGCAGCAGAATTTCTAGGAGGGTATATATAAGCACAGATCAAGAACAAGCTAACCAATGAAACCAAAATGATGATCCATGTCGGTTTTCTTAAGTGAGCTCGCTGGCGAGGTGCAGGCAATATCTGCATATCCTTCATGCCTATACGCCAGGCCTGATTTGGTTTCATTTAATGAAAATGCATTAGCAACGCACTCCCAGTCAAGAATCAATGCCCCTCTGAAACTCTAGCAACCAGAAGCGCGGAACTGGTTTTTGCAAATTCAATCACATGCAGGTACAATAAATTTGTTGAAGTATGCTAGAGCTGCAAAGAAGAAATAAAAGAAAATGGAGGAGTAAGCAGTTGTCACCTAAGGCATATGCCCTAACCTTAAAGTGAAGCATTGCAATATGAATTAGCTCAAAGTTGCTCAGAGCTAAAGGTAATGCAATTTCACATCCAATAGATTTCATCAAGAATATTAGGCATTAGATAACAACCACAAATGGTTAGCCTGAGACATAAAGAAACAGCATTTCAACAACAGGATAAGTTAAATTAAGCTTCCAAGTAAACCACTTCAATCTAGGATGCCAAATTTTAATTTCACTTGCCTTAAATCCTGAAAACATGGAAATTAGGCCATGTAAATGCTTTGATTCTGGATTTCAATATAGTAGTAGAGGCAGAGACTTATTTTGGGTGGCTGTGGTTGTATTTTTGAAGTGGTAATGAAATCTTGTGAAGTTTGTGCAAAAAAAAAAATTCTTTGAACGGAAAACTAAGTTTTGAGCAAAAATAAACAACAAAGGTAGATCTGAAGGCAAAAAAAGAAAAGACAGAAGAAGAATACTAATCGATAAGAGGTGATATTTGAACAAGCTGGCCCAATCAATGCCAGGGCGAAAAGTCAAGGTCTCAAACTCATGTCACTGAACCAAATCTACCATCACAAGACACATTGAAAACCCCTCATTCATATATACCGCAAACATTACGCACTGAACTACGGCATCCCCTGGACCCGACGGATATCACAAAACCCAGATAAATTTCGAGCTAGCACAATGAAGAAAAAATGACGGCAATACCTGAATAAGCATGAGGAAAAAGATCTTAGAACGAACTGGGGGCTTGAAATCCTCGACCTGATAGATCCGAATCTCAGCGAGTATGCAGGTATGGAAGGTGCTTATTATATTATATATCTGTGAAATTATTCGTATACTCTATATTCTATGGATGGATAAATGAAGAAGTTGATACGGAGTACTTCGTATGAGTTTGAGATCTAGGGCATCACTGCGTCATCCAGGAAGCGGAAGTGCGGAAACAAACAAAACACAGAGGAAGAGAGAGTGAGGGCAAATGCGGGCTCTCTTTCATGGATTTGATCCCATGGCTGATTGCTAACCACTATGCAAGTTGTATTGCTTAATTTGAGTAATTTTCAGGTAAGGTGAGGTTTTGGTAAATTTTAGAACATCTCCATTTTGGAATGAGGTAGGAAGTTGGAAGGCCTTCTTGTCAATAGGGTTGAAAAGGGTATAATGAGGGGGTTAATTCCTAACAAAGACAAATGTGGATGATTTTTGTACATCTATTAGGGTGAATGATATGGATGTGGTAAAGCCATTTTGGTACCAGAATGGACTTATGTGGCATCTTGGCAAATAGAGTAACACCACCTCTTATTATTTGGTACCAAAAGAATTGAGTAAGTGAGTCTATTATATTGCGGATGATATTGTGTGTCCTTCTCTTTATTATATGTTACTCTAATATTATTGATTCACTGTCACGATCATCTCATCTCATTCTTTGATCGATATAAAAAGAGGAGAAAGGTGTGAATTGTTATTAATGTTGTGTTTCTTTGTATTAATTATGTGTTAATGGCTTTTTAACTTTGATGGTTTTTTTTTGAGTTTTAACTTTCTGTGAGTCTTCTACATGTATTTGTCAACTTCTGTGCATTTAAAACAGTATTTCCTTCTTTGACGATCGATTGGTACTGCTAATGGCTCGCGCTTTTGATTTGTAGAAATTTTGCTTCTTAGCTCTAGCTTAATTTGGTACTTTGATCTGTTTTTTGCTATGAGTCATCTGTTTAAATTGTGTTTAATCTTGAAATATGTCTGCTCTAGGGGAGTTTTCTGCGAACAACGTGTTTGATTGGGGGGCTTGTAATTCATTTCACCCAAAATTTTTCAAAACGAAAACAAAATATGATGTGTTTGGTTCGGTTACTAGTGAAATAGTAATTGTTCTCTTCTATTGCAATCCAATTGTTATAAATTGAATTCCCATTCATGTCATTGTACGTTGTTACCGTGTCAGCCCAACTATTTGTTTAGGGTGTATAGTCACACATCATACACTCAGTCTAAAAAAACTAATACAGACTATATAAGAATATAAATTACTCAGAATTCTAAACTCAACCACTCATGAATGTAAATGTAGACATTAACTCTATGAGTACAAGCCTACAAGGTGTCTAAACACAAGCCTTCCTCAAGTTCGGCTCCAAATGGACTTATAACATGAGTTAACAACATACAAATTAAGAAACAAAAGATACTATACTATTGATATTCATGGAAAAATTAAAGATGTAAGAAAAAGTAATAATAAGTATGAGTTACAAAATATTCCAAAATACAATTTTAAACAAACATTGTGTGACATAGAATCAAATTAAAAGAGAAAAAAATAAAATAAAGTGTAAATTGTTTTAGTAAAGATATAAATTTCAAAAATATAACATTTATTTCATCATTCTTTATTTTTAGTATTTTCTAACTATTCCAATTTTTTCCAACTTCTAATTTATTCTAACTTCTTCCATTTATACAAATTAAAAGAGAAAAAATTGAATTAAGTATAAATTATTTTAGTAAAGATATAAAATTTCAAACAATATAACACTTGTTTCATCATTCTTTATTTTTTAGTATTTTCTAACTATTCCAATTTTTTCCAACTTCTGATTTATTCTAACCTTTTCCATTTTTCTAAAAACTCAAATTTCATTCTTTCCTCACATTTATTTCAACAATATGTTTTTTAACATTAAGTTTTTTCTACTACTTATATTGGGCTCTGTTCAGTTCGCCTAATTTGATCTGATTTTTTCAAAATCTGATTTGGTATTATTTGATTAGATCTGATCTCATTGGATCTGATATAGTCTGATAATCTAATCTGATTGGATTTGATCTACTCGTTGAGACCTGATTTGATATGTATAGATCTGAATTGAATAAATATGATTTGATCTGATTTGAATAAAAGTTAAAATTATTATAAGAACTTCATTATTACTGATTATTTTAATAATAATAATAATAATAATAATAATTAGTATTAGTATCATATATTTATATGTTATATAAAGAAAAAAATAAGTAATAAACTGAAGATGTAGAAAAAGAAAATTATTGACAATAATCACGTTTTGGTAAATATGGATACTCTATTACAACATGACAAGTTTTTATATCTCATGCTAATCATGTTAAAAATGTAGATATCGTAATATTCGTATTAGAAATCGTACTAACATAATATTCTATTTGTAAATGTCCCAAAAAATTTAGTATCTATTTTTCCCTTTTTTAGAAATATATATAATCCAATATATTTCTCTCCCATTAAAAAAAGAATTTAACCACTTACTATTTGATTTCCATAAGATTTTCTTTTTAAGTGAAGATAAAATACGTAATTTTTTATAAGACGGAGTATCATTAAAATTATTGTTTCTTCCACCCTTAAAATATCATCATGTATACTATTATTACAGGCCTCTAATATTTTTTTTTGTATATGTATTTTTATTAATTCTTTGATAAAATAAAATATATATATATATATATATATATATATATATATATATATATATATATATATATATATATATATATATGACACTACTTCTTTTGTTGAATTATTGAATTAGTTTTTAAATAGAAAAAAATTTGCTCCATATAAGACTAAAAGGTAGATATGACTCTACGAATATGGTCATTGGCAACAAGTATTACGTAATAACTGATTATTTCAATGACTATTTAATTTATTTTTAATAATGTCATATTCTATTTGAATTGTGTATTAGGTCATTTTGCAAGACATTTTAGAACTTTCCATTATCAAACGTTAGAATAGATATGACTGGTCATATTTACGAAAAACTGATATGTTTATGTCCCATTTACGTAAATTACCATTTTAAATTTGATAATTGTAATCTTTATTTTTATACTGTTTATAAATACAATTATTTAAAAGAGATGAAATTTTATACTTTTTTCAAATATGATAATAATTTAGTAAACGAAAAAATATTATAATTACTTAAATTATCATAATAAGAAGTATGATTTTATTGTATGAAACATTATTATTATTTTTATTACTTAATTACGTATAACATTATAATAGTAATCATTTGTAAATATATGCAAATTAATTAATGTTACACAAATTAATTGTAACTAATTACGTACTACGTATTATCTAACAATTGAAAATAAATAACCATTATTTTCCCATATTTTTCTGGATTTCTTTAATCTAATTTAAAAACATTTCATCTGATTAGTTTTGATCTGATCTAATTGAATTTGATCTGATCTGATTGGTTCAATCCGTGATAATCAATTTTTAAATTTTTGTATCATGCTTCCACTCCATTACACTGTTTAAATATAGTGTAGTTAACCTTCATTAGATCTCATTTCTTATTCGGTTTTTTTATTTCTGGATCCAAAAATAAGACAGCTTAATTTTATGGGAGAAAGAATGACCCGACCAAGTCAAAGTTAACTAAGGTAGTGTTTGGAAACTAGTATTTCATTTCAATTCATGCATTTCAATTCCATAATTTGAAATCCTGAATTTCAAATGACAAGGGGAGGTGCATGGATTTCAAATTAAGCTTTGTTTTGAATGTAAAGAATTTGATTCAAATCTAAATTCAAAATGCTTAATTTTCCCAAACATGGAATTTAAACCAAATCTGGATTTGAAATCAAAATACATGTTCCCAAACATACCCTACCATAAACGTACTTTCCGAGTGACCAGAGCAGAGCAAATCAGGCACTGAAAGTACTACTCAGAGTTAGTCAGACCAAAGTACTTCCCCACATCTCTCCGGCCAACATTCTCTGGTGTCCTCCCTTCCATTACCATGCCGACCAACTCCAATTCCACGCATCATCCTCCGAGGATCGGAAAGATCGGCCCCTACACAGTCTTCATCACCCCTCCATCAACTCCTTCCAAGCCTTTGGAGGTGCCTCCTGTGCAAATCCAGCCGCCGGAGACGGCGGTCAGGAATCCACCTCCGGTCATGGTTCCCCCCAAACAATATGACAAATACCAGACTAAAACCGGCTCGACTTTTGGAGTTTTCTGGGATGCTGTAGCTAAAGTCCAAAACGGTTCGGTTCCTTGGATCTACTTTTCATTGTTGTCATTTACTTGATTCTTCTTGTTGTTGTTTTTGTTACCATCATACTCATAATTGCTCTCTCTGTGATTCTTTTTAATCCATAAAAGAGAGTACTATATTAAATTAAAACAAATCATTATACTATTTAATTAAAAAAAACACTAAAGCGATTAGGGAAAAAGACCAAAGTAGGAGTATTACTAAAGTAGGACTGTAGGAGATAAAATGCATTTACGTTATCATTCATATGTACATTACCAAAAAATATAGTAAAGTGCCCATGTATAGTGTCACATTACATGGAGTGTGAACTTCTATTTAGGGAATAAAAACATGAAACTCCTATACTTCTATTTAGGGTGATTTCTTTAGCTATTCTTGGATGATTTCCATGTCTAAATAATTTTATATCGCCAGGGAGTCGGTGTCATTTAGCATTGCTTTACCTTTACACTATGTTTGGTTCAAGGAATTTGAGAGGGAAAAGAAAAGAAAATGAGAAGGAAAATATTTTTCTTGTTTGGTTAGAGAGGAAAAGAAAAGAAAAGTGGAAGGAAACGAAAAAGAGAAGGCAAAATGTACTAAGAGGAAGGAAAACCAAATTCCTCCCATTTTGGTGAGGAAAATGAGGGAAAACCATTTTCTTTTCTTTTCCTACCAAATTCCTTGAACCAAACATAGTGTTAATATATTTTCATTGTTTTGAACTTGAGAAATCTTAATTGATTTGGTGATGGGTTTAAACTTTTAGCCCATGCAAGTCTGGATGAGAACGTGGCATATTGGTTTGGGTTGAATCAATCAAAGTATCAATGGGCCCTGGATGATTACTATGAGAGCAAGGGAATTGTAAGTCCTTTTTTAATCTTCTCTTGATCGGATTTGATGATTGTTTGATTAATACCTGCTAGCTAGCTCTACCTACTATATGAGTGGATGCTTTGCTATGACCTTGAATGTATCGAATGAAATGAAACTAAGAATGGCAAATGAACTTGAGAATTCTT